TATCCCATGACCCACAGTCCAAGCAGGGGGCTAATTAGCGAGTCACCAAAGTCTGGTCGATGAGCCAAGGGGTCGCAATCCCAGTCTGTGGATCACAGGTCCTTCCCTAGAGACCAGTCAAGGTCACCATGACTTGATATGACCACAACTCTATGGTGCATAGGGGTATCTCTCGCACATACATATGCTTTATCCCAAAGGGTGGATATTTGATTTTTCCAAATGATTTATCGATATACAAGTCGTATGTTGGAACATGGATGAAGTTTTGGCCCCCGTCTCTGTAAGCCTATCATCACACGCAAAGGTCACACACTCCCTCAGTACACTCATCCAGACATAAGCTCCGACCTCAGCAAGGGATAACCCAGAACCCTTCTCGGTTATTCTTTATGCCTATGTACCTTGGGTTTTCCAACAGACTGACCTAGATCAGCAAGCACAGGCCGGTATCAACAAACATCATTTGCTTAGTATTGTCCTCGAGAGACCACACTCCTACTGAATTTATGTTTCACTATATATTTTATTTTACAAATACTCATAAAGCATTTAAAGGCCACATAAACCCAACAGAATGACCAAAGGAATTAAGAACAGAATCAGATAAGGGAACCAAGAAAGAAAGGTGAGAGGGTGAGGAATTAGTTTTATTGTCAAACACCACATGTCGGGATACCCAAAGTCTTTTGGTCACAAGGTCATAACACTTATATCCTTTTTGATGATCAGGGTAACCGATAAAGCAACATTTGAGCATCTTTGGAGATAACTTATCTCTTTCAGTTGGTGGTAACAAACAATACAAGTGTAGCCAAATACACGTAGGAAGGAATGATCAGGTAGTCGTGTAGATAATTTTTGGAAAGGTGTTTCGTCAGATAAAATGAAGGATGGCATGATGTTAATGAGAAAAATTGATGTGCGAACATCTTCTGCCCAAAATTCTTTTGGGACAAATGTAGAAAAACGAAGGGATCATGTGGTTTCGAAGATATGATGATTTTTACGTTCGACAACACCATTTTGTTCTGGTGTATAAGGACAGGTTTTGTGGTGTTGAATGTTGTGATTAGCCAAAAATTGTTGAAGCAACCTACTGGTATATTCCCCTCCAGAATCTGAGCGTAGAGCTTTGATTTAAGTGAAAAATTAAGTTTCTAAATAAGAATAAAACTGAGTGAAGATTTTAAAAAATTCAGTGCGATTATTTATAAAGAAAACCCATGTATAACGAGTATGATCATCAATAAAGGTTACAAAATAGTGTGACCCTACTTTAGATGGTATAGGTGCAGAACCCCACACATCAGTATGAATAAAATCAAACATAAAACGTGAAATAGAAGTACTTCGAGAAAAAGGTAAAGCATGAGATTTAACGAATTTACAAGTTGCACAATGTTGGACATCAGTAAAACTGTTATTTCGCATAGTACCAAGCACATTGCGGGAAAATAACGAGAAGAAGAGATGTGACCACGACGTTGATGCCATAGAGATGTGTCATCAATAGTAGAAACAGCATAGACAAAAGAGATTGGCATATGCAGATAGTTTAGGTAGTATAAATTTCCAACTTTACGCTCAGTCTCAATCAATTGCCCTCACTGTCGATCCTGTATGTGGCAAGAAGATGGAGAAAAAACAACGTTAGAGTTTGAAGGGTAATCTGACCAACAGACAATAAATTCATGGCAAGGGAAGGAACACGATACCTAATTCTCTCAGCACGCAACAATTTAACTTTGCTATTTAATTAAGAACTTAATTTGAATTTTAGCCCAGTTTCCAGTGAGGACGAAGAGGCATCGACTTAAAAATTAAAAGAAGAGAAATTTATATTCACGTCACCCTGAAACAATATACCTTAATTTTCGTTTAATTAGAAACGAACTTTCAACATTCATAAACCTAGTCCACAATTTTTTTTTTTCTAAATTTTGACATTTTATTTACCAAAATAGCCTTTACGGTAGTCGTATTACCGTAATGACTACCGCATTACGGTACTTTATGATAGGGCATTCACGGTAATACGACTACCATTAAGATTATTTTGGTAAAAAGAGATGTCAAAATTGAAGCAAACGGTGTGGACGAGATTTTTGAAAGTTGAATGTTTTTTTCTGATTAGACAGAAATTAAGGTTATTTCTAATAATTTCCTTATTATTAATAAAAATCTCCTTGATTTTTTCTACTTTCATTCTTTTAGGGCAAACCTTCTATGCTTCTCCTACTATGCTTCTCCTTCTGCATAAAACTTTGAGGGCAAGCCTTCTATGCTTCTCCTACTGGATAATTTTTACGGCAAGCCTTTTATGTTTCTCCTACTACATAAAACTTATGTACTTCCCCCTATCCAACCGTCTATTTTGAATGGACAACTAAGATGGCCCAAAATGCAATGCCACGTATCTATACTATTTTATTTTAAATTTTTTTCTACAAAATATTTTGACACCAAATTTTAAGCATCCACTTCTCTCTTGAATTCGCACTTGAAGAAAAAAAAACGAAAAGGAAAAAAAAACAATAAGATAAAATAACCAAAATACCTTGAAAATTTCAAGGGGTATTTTAGTCATTATATTTTGTTGAAAAAAAATTTAATATTTTTTAGGTGCACTCCATTGAGAACATGGCACATAATAAATTTTATATTCATACAATTTGTAAAAAACAATAAATGTAAAATACTCTAGGGCATCAGATCTAGATCAAGTGGTCAGTGCCTAACTTGATCTATAAATTGGATGGCTGGATAGGGGAGGGGAAGTATATATCTTTTATGCTATAGAGGGGAAGTATAGAAATCTTTCCTATTTTTTTAAGTTTTCTTTTAACTTTTTTATTTTTCCCAAAATAGCCCCACTACAAATCATCAAGGTTTGAAGAGACAATGACTGAGTCCAAGTTAAAAAGAATTTTTATACTGTGACTTCAAACTTTCAAGTGAAAACAACTTCAAATCTTCAATCGCTGAATCCATTTCGACAACTCTTGATTTTGGACCTTGAAAACCCTATGTTAAAACTTGCTGATTTTAATATTAGAAAACCATCTAATTGATCATCTCTAGAGATGTATGGATATAGAAAAAGAATATTTTAAATCTAAAAAATAGTACCTTTTGTAAGAAGTGTTGTCAAATTCACTCTGCTTCGGCCGAAAAGACCGAAGCCTTCGGATTTTAGGCCTAGACCAAAGTGAAGAGAAAATTGGTGTTGCCGCTTCAGTCAAATTTGGGCTACTTCGAGTCTACTTCGGGCAGATTCGAACGAAGCTTCAGCCTAAGCAAAAAAATATGTACTAAAAGTATATTTTTTATTTTTTAAAAAAATTTACTTTTAATTTTTTTCATTATTTTTATATATAAATATCTAATTTATTTATATTAAATTAAAAAAATCCAAAATCTACCCTCTAATCGGCCGAAATACCGAATTGCTTCATTTTTTTCACCAAACCAAACAAATAAGACTCCAAAGCGAATCTAACAACATTGCTTGCAACACATTATCTGGACTGTCCATTTAAGATTTTCATGCCTTTATAGATCTGATTGATTTGAACCATTTTTTAAGTTTAAAATTTTGCTATTAGAGATGAAAATAACTTCTCGGGCCATCCTAAAATTTTTAACACCAAAATTGTATCTAACGACAAAGTTTAGAAGCATGCCTTATTTTGATTATTTAAGGTTGTAATCTTATGCAAATCACACATATAGTGCTTTATAGATAATGTCATCTAATTATTTAACTCTTTTAATGATATTGGTTATTTTTGGCTAAAAAGTCATGGTTTCCAGTAAATTATTTTAAATAGAGCAAAAAGAGCTTTTCAAAAAGCTAAACATTTATCTAAAACTACCTAGAAGTCCATCTCATATAACTTTATAATACATACTACCAAACAACAAATAATTCATTATCAGGATTAACTTTATAATACATACTACCAAACAATAAATAATTCATTATCAGGATTAACTTTATTGAAACAGTTAATTATCAGATACAATGTGTGCATCTAATCTCACCCATAGTATATAATTCTATGTGCTAATGTTCCTACACAAGTGACCAGAAAATTATAAAATTATGTTATCATTCACAGTAAACGTTTTCCCGCTTCACCAAGGATGTGAGGTTGATAATTAAAGAAGACTCGAAGAGAATTTTGGGGAAGCTGATTCCTCTCACCATCTCACATTTATAAAAACGGAAAATGTTTTGAAAGGGATGCATTCCTATCAAAATAAATAACGCCTCACATTAGTTTTGGTACTGAAAAACCTTTAAATCGATCATCTTGATCTAGACCATTATGGTTAGTGAGAAAAAATTTAGTATTTCAAGCCTTTAAAATAATATATATCATAACATATTATCTAGACTATCTATTTCGTTCTTAAAAATAAGTATTCATGGTTTCACAAGATCTATTTTGAACTTTAAATTTTATAATCAGTATTCAAAATTGATTTCCGAAATGCTCTCTAAATAAGGATTCTAGATCAGGCTTTAGTATTTTCCAAAAGCCTAGGTCTCATAAAAAGTGCATCCTATAAAAAATATAAAATTATTTTGAAATACATAAAATAACCAAATGCCCTTAAAATTTTGAGATTCCTAAAGGTATTTTGTCCTTTTCTGTACTAATTTTAAATTTCAACAGGTAAATAGAGATTCTTTGGTTAATTGGGATTTTGAGATTCACAAAGATATTTTGTCCTTTTCTATACTAATTTTAAATTTAAAAAGAAAATAGGGATTCTTTTTTTAATTTCCCAATTTTTAATGCTCATAGATCCTGAGAAAACAAACTAAAAACAAATACACCTGTAGGCAATCATGTAGGTCCCTGGAACCGAGTCCAACAAATACAATAAATAATGTCTACAAAGATCATTTATCTTTTGAAAGCCACTTATTATTTCTACTTATTAGATGCCAAATTAAATGTTTTGGAGTGAGTCATGAAATTGAAGAATTTTTTTTTTTTCTAACTTTGTGTCTATTCAATGACACTCTTATAACCACCCATTTTGAAATTTGAAATACAAGAATAATTGTGACCTCCTCATAAAACAGATAAATTATCTTTTTGTAGACAATCCTAAATAATGAATATCGGCGAGAATTGTCTTAAGGTTGAGAGATAAGTTCGAGAAAGGAATCAAAGGCGGCACAAGACATCCCACCCTTGCTCACAGCCTTTCGGGCGGCGTCCCTCAGCTCTGCCGCCTTCCTCCTCATCTCCGCCCCCTCTTCGGACACCATCAGCTTCCTCACCGCCCTCTCCACTCTCTCTCCTAACAATGTCGTCCCTCTCATGCCACTCCTTCACCGCCAACCCCACCCCAAGCACCCCTGTAAGTAACTGCAGGTTCACTGGCTGGTCCGAGTGCATAGGCCATGCCACCATGGGAACACCCATGGTGAAGCTCTCCATGCATGAGTTCCACCCGCAATGCGTGAAGAACCCGCCTGTGGAGGGGTGGCGTGGTATCTCCAATTGGGGTGCCCAGTCCCTCACTATCAACCATCTCCCTTGGACCCTTTCCTAGTACCCTTCTGGTAGCCCCCGAGGACCCTCCGCCTCTCTCCCAGCGAATACATCCCCTTTGTCGGCTTATCTTAGCACCCAAAGGAAGGGCTGCCCGCTGGCTTCTAATCCTAGTGCTAGCTCCCTCACCTCCACTGCACTCATTGATACAATGGTGCCAAATGCGACATACACCACCGACTGCATTGCTTGCTTGTCCAACCACTGCAGGCATTCAAGGAACTTATGTGGCTCTTGATGCTCCTTTGTAAAAGAACTGTCGGCCCCACTCCCCAAACATGGAGACCGGGCGATCTCTCTGCCATCTTGCTCAGGAACTGGCCTTCAAGGGCTTGGAAGTGTTGAAGAGCAATCCCCTGTCGAGGTGTTGGAACCTCACAGTGCGCGGCAAGAAGTCCATGAAGCTCTCATTTATAAAACCACGCAATATAGGAGGTGACAGGCCAGGCACGACAGGCTCTGGATGGTCATCTTCTTCCCTCGGAAGCATACAGCAGAGCACGCGCTGATGCAACGGTAGCTGTACGACTCGGAATTGGGGCACTCAGCAGCTGCATGAGCAGCCACAAACATGAGAATATCGTCGACAACTACCACACGACGGTGGGAGCCCGCGAGTTCGCAGACAAGGGTAGTAAGTGGGCCAAGGAGCTGCTCAGTGGCATCAAAGACAGGTTGGAGGTGGCCTGGGAACTTGTTGGGGGACTCGGGGTCCGGTGGCAAATTAGGAAATTCAGGGAAAGAGAGGATGTGAAACCAGAGATTGGGAAGGGAGGTGCAATCCAAGCCACTGAAGCGGTGAGCCGCCTGTCTTGTCTTGCGTGGGTCTCAGAGCAAGTGAAGACCACCGGCATGCCATGCTCTTCGAGCACGCAGGCAAAGGTGAGCAGCTGGTTGAGGTGGCTCTGCGCCGGGAAGGGTACCACTAGCACCACCACCCAAGTTGAGGTCTGGAGGAGCACTCATTGGGGAGGAGGATAATGTTGCTTTGTTGGCCTCAGCTGGTTCTTTGATTTATGGGGGCGGAAGATGTCATGGGTTCTAGCCCATGTATCACCTTCAATTATTGGTGTGGGACCGTTGATACTATGTCTGTCACCCATGCCTTCCAACAAGCTATGTTCCTACTGATATTGGGGAAACAACATCAGCAAGTGTCCTGATCCGGCCATAAAGTACTTTGAAATCAATTGATTTTTAGGAAAATTACAAAAAAAAAGTAGACTATACTTTTTATGCAACTTGTCCCAAAACTTTTTCTCTCAAAAATACATTTTCTATGCAAATACCCCCAACAAAAATAAAAAATAAAAAAATACCTAAACTACCCTCCCCTATTTTTACCTTACCTACAACTCTCTTCTCTATCCCATCAAAATAGGGCTCTAGCACCGTCAACAACTATCCCATCAAAATAAGGGCTCCGGCGCCGTCCAGCAATAGCGCTCCGGCACTATGTAAATGCGAAAGTACGGTCCGACAGTAAGGCTCCAACACTGTATAGAGTACGGTCCGGCAGTAAGGCTCCCACACTGTGTATAGGGCGATCTGACAGTTGCAAAGACGAGCATTACTGAATTCCAGGGATCCGACACTATGTAAAGGACGGTCCGACAGTACTCCGTTTCGGTCCAATAATTATTTTAGGGCGCTCCAACAATATGATAGTGTACTCCAGTAATATACTACTGGGTCCAAAAGTCAACGTCAAGTCTGTCCAAAATTATTTTTGTATACGAAAAAAGCTTTTCTGTCACAAAAAAAATAAAAATAAATAATAATAATAATAATAATGAACTTTTTCCCTTGGGAGTATTTGCATAAAAAGTTTGTTTTGAGGGAAAAAGTAAGAGAAAAAGATAAGTTAGAGTAAGTTGCATAGAAAGTATGGTCTTGATTTTTTTTTTTTCTTTAATTTTTTGTTTTATGAAAAAATATCCAACTCGTGTGATTGGCCTTGAGTGCTAATGTTATCCTCGTATGGGATAACGCTGCATGCATCAAAAACTCCTGGACCCTCAGGTAAAAGAGATATCTAGCATGATCTTTTTGGAAATTTATGAATTTATTTAAGAAATTAATTTAAATTTCAACCCAGTCGCTGGTGAAGACGACAACGCATCTACTTAAAAATTAAAAGAAGAGAAATTTATGTTCATGGCCCCTAGAACAACATTATTATAAAAAGGGTGCAAAAAGGGTGCAGTTTGCATACAGACCCATCCGTTGGTGTAGAGGTAAGATGCACCTTCAAATTTTATCATGGTACATAATTTTGATGTAAAATGTTCTTAGGATATCTCAAAATCTATTTTTATATCTAATTATAAAATTTTAAATGTCAAAAATGGTAAAAGTCAATGGCTTCAGACTTTGAAGATCCAAAGCCAAAACTTCAAGTCTTAATTCGAATCTTTGCAAGATCTGAACTAAGATTTATCAAGATCTTAAGTTAGGGCAGTTTAGAACATTAAAAAAGATGATAAAAAGGTGGTTGCATCCAAAAATGACTCCAAATCATGCTAATCGGTGGCACCAGTGAAGCCCACTAGTTTGCCAACAAAATGATAGGACTTTCAGCTGCCTAAATGATTCTATCATGAAGTATATATTCCGAGGTCTTAAGCAAAGCCTTTCCTGAAATTGTCTTTAGGTACTAAATTCCATTCTCTGAGTCGCACCTAAACACAATGTGTACACCTAATGTGACAGCCTCAGGTGCATTCATGATTGACAAAGAGAGAGACTCTTAGGCCAGTTTGGATGGCACATATAAGCTCCCCCACAGCACCACCCCATCACTGATGGAGGAAACAGCTTTTCTAAATGTTTACTCAAGTTAGTCCCCCTCAATGTGCAAATTTCACCAATTCACTTCAGAATTTCGACACACGAACCACCCCACGTAGTTAGGGGGGCCTGCATAAGGCAGTGTTGTCCATGATGTAGGAGCGACACAAACAGGTCCCTTGCTGTATATGTTAAAGGTCATAGGCACAGCAAAGGTAGCAGAATGTGGAATGTGTTTGATATCGAGCAATGCATATAAGCCCCTTCCTCCAGGGCAAATTGAGCTTCAAACTAAATGCGACTCCATGACAGGCCACCAGATTCACTTTCTACCTCTCATGGAACTAACATGTTATCATGAAGTAAAGATGCAGAACTCTACTGGTCCCATTACAAACCCTACTAAAAACCTGCCCTGGTTTAGGGAGCGACACAAAAAGGGTCAAGTATTATTGCCTCTCAATTACCAACCCTACTAAAACACAGGGATCCTATCGTGCGTTCTATGAATTCCCTCACTATCTCACCCCATGAAGGTTTCCTATGCTAGATGCTACAACAAAACAAATAAACAAAACTCACCAGACATCAGATTCAGCTTGTCCACCAATCAACCCCCTCCACCTATACTCTTTCTGAAGGCCTTTTGACAGAAGGGTTTTAAGACCCATCCATATGGTTCCTACATTAGGAAGCTACCTTGTGAGTGAACAAAACCAAATGAATATTTGACAATTGAGCCACATCATGTATCTAGTTTTCTCTGATGTAGATTGAAAAATATGAATGGATGTTCAAGAATATTTCACAAACTCATGAAACAAATGAAAATGTTTACCTGTAAAACTTTCCTTGCACAGTCACATAAATAAAACTCAGGTACCTCCAAGGTAACTATCAACAACAGAAAATAGTGTAAAATGCTAAATTGCTAAATGATGTATTCACAACACTATCATAGCCTAAAGAAAACATAGAAGTTGCAAGATGAACATATATCCATTTCCCAAAATAAAACTAAGTATTAAATTCTTACCACCAAATAGGAAAAACTGGGAGAAAACAGAATGTTTTCTTGATTATCTCTACATATCATAGGAATGTAACAAACTAGGAGTAGGAACTGGCTTTTTCTGAAAGCTGTATGTAGACGACAAAATTCAAAATTCTTTTCTCACTTTTTTGCTTCATTGCCCTCTCTTTCTCCATGAAAGAGACACAAATAAATGTAATGATATTTTGTTTTAGTGATGCCCTAGAACAATGAAGTGCTCGACTTGTACATCTTTGTTCCAGATACATCATTCAGATGCATTCTCCCTCGGTCAATACAATAGACAGTTGCCAAAGGTGCACATTATTTACGAATTGAATTTTTCTCCCACAGATAAAATGTAATAAGCAACCAACTTCACCCCAGAAAAACTTCATCATTACATGCTGAGCAATTTTCAATCTTCCTAATTACTTATTTAACTAACTTATCTTCCTTGGTTGCCAATTGCAAGCCAAATTGATTATGTTCTTTTCTTTTCTTCGTTGGGAGAGCTACTTCTGCCAAAAAATGCAGTGCCATCAAACCACAGCTTATTGACGAGCCATTTGATGTCAATCCACCATGTTATAAATTGTTTTTATGCATTGATTTGCGGGGCATTTGCGCATTACATGAATTATGACTATAGAGCCATCAAAATACCTAAATATTGGCTATGGAGTTCACAGTATCATGCACTAGTCATGGTCCTAGCATGAACATAGTCCTCTGGAGGCATCCCCAAGTCGCATCACTCGTGCTTTTGTGGATGTCAATAAAAATGTATCACAGGCTAGGAGCAATAATTGCCAGCCAACCACCTGTATCTGATGGTAAACTTCAAGTCATCACTGCTTCTCGACATGCCAAAGATCAAAGAATATTTCAAATTTATAATGCCAAACTTCTAATACGCAATTGGTCAATAAGTTCATATCTCAGTACCTTATCAACTTAACTGCAAAAAATGATGCAGCCTCTTGCAACCTCAACAGTCAAATACCCAAGAGATACTCTCTATTTAATCCTCATTCTGGCAATGCTCTCAATAACATTAACTTCAACCTCGCCCAATCCCAAAATGAGCATTCACTTCCCTTATTGTATGATTAACTGACCATATCTATCAATTATCGTAGGACTTCGCCCTCCCCAGCTCTTCCATCATCAATGGGCATGTCAACAAGTCTGATGCTACAAAGTCTAAGGCAAGGTCCTCTACAAGAGTCCATGGACGGTACCTGTTTCCAATGAGAACCCCAACTTGCTTTTCCAGAGGCACATACGAAGAGAAGTGCCTGTGTTCATGGACGTGCTCTCCGACAAACTAATTCGTACCTATTTCTCTTAGCACACAACAGTTCAGCTTGTTAATACTTTGTGAATCATTAACATGCCAAAGAGAATAATTCCCGTCTCATACTCACCACCTCGCTACTCTCATCATTACAAAAGAAAGTTATTGATGAAGAACATATCACAAATTTCACCAAATAGATCTCCTTTTTGAACAACAACCAAAAGCATCTCGCCAATTACATTGATTAATCGTATAACAAATGGCTACATCACTTTTTATTTGCCATCGGTCACATAGTCCTCAAACAGAAATACATCAAACCAGTGTTTAAAATTCGCCCACCTGGGTGCCTATGTGAGCTAGGGCCCTATGCCCATTGCCTGGGGCCAGACAGGCGCCTTAGACCTCTTATATATATATATATATATATATATATATGAGAATAGAT